TATCAGAAATTGGATCGACAATAGTCATGGGCAGGAATGAGCTGCTGCATGCGTCTGGTCATGCCTATCATGATGAATTGGTAAGATACTTCGAATATCTGTTTTCGGATGTGCTACATGTACATTATTGTTTACATACGTATAATGCGTTGAGATATGATTGTGTCAAAATTTCTTCAACCAAAAAATAAAATAAAATTCTCCACTCTATTTTTGACACCTTATTTGTATATAAACCATTATGTAATTCCATTTTGTACAAATAGCATTATTCGCTGAACATTAGGTCTTTTTGTATTTTAATGCTGTGAGCATATTGTGTAAAGCATAGATTATTCTCCTTCCCCGTTGCATGTTGCTTGGCAATGTATATTCTGATCATTTTGTGTGTGATGCGTTTCTTACTTTGTCATTCCACAACATAATATCTATATTTTTATGATTTCATATGATCCGTTTTTGAAGGAAGAAGTGCTAAGGATTGTTAAACCGCAACACTTTCTACCCATCCATGGAGAACTTGTATTCCTTAAAGAGCATGAGTTGCTAGGAAAATCAACTGGCATTCATCATACTGCAGTAAGTAATTTGTTTCAGTTCAAGATATTTGAAGAAAGAATATTGTTGGCTTAGTAGCACTTGTTAAATTGTAATTTCACTTTGGTTATAACCAATTTTATTTCTATTTGGTCAATTCATTATGTGTCATCATGTGATTAAGACATACAAATCCTAGTATCTAACTGCACAAAGTTGAGACCAAATCTGATTTTTATGCTAGTCTTATTTACGAGCCTACCTCAATTAACATCCACTTCCTAGAAGTGGGGTGGGGGGTCAAGGGCCAGTTGTGGGAGAGGGGGGCATTTCTTGGGCTGGCAGATAATCTACAATGGACTAGTTTGCACTATATCATTGGATTATTCTGCTATTTAATATTTGTACTTGTCAGTACCTTTAACCATAAAATAGAAGAAAGAGTTGAGAGAAAGCATCTGGTTGCCCATGTGGAAGGCCTCTTAATTTTGAATGTCAATCTATTACATCTTGTGTCTACACTATTTTAATTATCTCTTCAGGTTATAAAAAATGGGGAGATGCTGGGAGTCTCACATTTGAGAAACAGAAGGGTTCTATCAAATGGTTTCATTTCCCTGGGGAAAGAAAATTTGCAGGTTACTCTAAAATTCGCTCTTGTGCACGCACGGAAATGGCTGTATGTGAATTTACACACCCATAGCTGTTAATTATCTGAAAAGATTTTTGCTAATAAAGTCTGAATGCTGCAGATGATGTACAGTGATGGTGACAAGGCATTTGGAACGGCTAGTGAACTATGTGTTGATGAGAGGATGAGAATTGCATCTGATGGTATTATAGTGATCAGGTAAGTAATTTATTACACCTGCAAAATCCTATTTTCTTAACTGTGCCTGCATTTAACAGTCTCACATCTATTGTGCAGTATGGAAATTTTACGCCCTCAAGCTATAAATGGTTTGGTTGAAACGGCTTTAAAAGGAAAAATAAGAATTACCACACGATGCTTATGGCTCGACAAAGGAAAACTTTTGGATGCACTTCATAAAGCTGCGCATGCTGCACTATCAAGCTGTCCTGTAAATTGCCCTCTGACCCACGTGGAAAGAACTGTGTCCGAAGTTTTGAGAAAGATAGTGAGAAAGTACAGTAGCAAAAGACCTGAAGTTATAGCTATTGCTATTGAAAATGCAGCCGCTGTTCTTGCTGATGAGATTAATGGAAAACTATCTAGAAAGTCGACTGTTGGATTTGGAATTCCAGCATTGAGAAAAGCAGTTGATGGACATCAAAAGAACAGACAACTGACTAGAACACTAGAGGAAGATGGCAATTGCCTAGCACTTGCAAAAAGTACCAAAGAATCAGGAGGTTATGTTTAACTCTTGCTAAAATCTCAGTCAGTTCTCTTCAATTTCCAAAATTATGTAATATAGATAGGCACACTTAGTAGAATAGATTCAGGGAGTTTAATCGATAGTCTGTGCATGTATCTAGATGCAGGTGTGGTCGGAAAGAAGGCACGAAAAATGGTTTTTAACTGTTGTAACCTTAACCTTGCTGAAAAATTGAAATATTATATATTGGCTTTGTGGTTGTTGCATATATCTGCTAGCTGTATCAGAAAGAGAGGAACATGATGTACTTTTAGCTTACGCAGTAGGATAATGCTTAGTGTTCTCTTTTCGGCCATTCATTTGGGGGTAAAGTGAAATATAATAGTGACTTTCCTATCATCAACAATTTTGACATTGCATTACTTTACTCTCGAGATTAATCAGGAGTGTAGAGATCTCAGTGTACTAATATTATTGTTATTGGGCTTTAAGATCATTATCTATCAATATATTCTGTATATGATAAAGTGATTGTGTTGTAATAGAAATCATATTTATTCTAGTGCCTTTATAAAGTTTTTAGGCATAGTAAACTAGATTCCACGATGTCAATATGTTACTAATTTATTGAAACTGTTCTTCATACTTTCTTCTTTGTGCAGTTCATGACGTTGATGATGAGAGACTTCTAGATGAGGAAGAAACCTCTTCAAGTTCTGAACCAGAAAAATCTTCCAACAGTGACGATTCAGATGATTTTTGGAAGTTGTTTGTAGTACCATCGGTGGTCAATCAATCAGAAGGCGAAAGCGATTTACTTCCAGCACAGGAGCAAAAAGAAGTGGCCAAAACAGAAAGCAGTGAACTTGATTCCAGCATGCCAAAATCTAGATTAAAACCCAAGGCTGCAAAACGGAACGAATGGAAACCTGAAGAGGTTAAGAAGCTAATTGAATTGCGTGGGGAACTCAACAGAAGATTCCAAGTTCCCAGGGGACGGATGGCCCTCTGGGAAGAAATATCTTCAAATCTGTTATCTGATGGAATTACTAGAAGTGCCGGACAATGCAAATTTTTGTGGACATCTCTAGTCCAGAAATACAAGGTTCGTTTCCTTATCTCTAGCTTAGAAGCAACGACACAATCATTCTCTTTGTCATATTCATCCATGTACTTAGGGGCTTTATCTGCCAAATTAAGCTCATTATTCTTCTCGATGATTATATAGTTATGTCATATATGCATGTATAGTATACTAGTGAGTCAATAACATATTCGTACATACTTTGAATATGTTATGTAGCATTCTCGACAGTGTTTTAGTTGTTACAGATTTGACCTTTCCGATTATGTTAAATAAGACTGTCCATATTAAGGTGAACATCCTTATTTGTTCTACCAACCATTGTAATGCATATTGGCTGAAGGATCGTCTTAATTACATTATCGTTCTTTCACATTGCAGATTGTGTGTATTTTCTTTACTTTCATTATCCTTCTTTCACGTTGCAGATTGTGTGTATTTTTCTTTACTTTCCGTGGTTGACAAAGTTCATGAATAAAGCCCGGATTCTAAATGGCCGAAGCAGCCTGCACTTGCTTTTATAGTAGAACTGCCCGAATAAGTATTGTCCAGGCTGGCCTCGGTTTATGTTTACGTGTCATATTCCTCAGTAACATGTTTTTTTTGAAATCATGCTTGTTACATCAAATTTCTTCGTTTGATGATCTATGACTCTGGCAGCTATTTTTGTTTTGAACAGGAATGTAAGAATGATATGGAAAGTCGAAAGACCTGGCCATATTTTGATGATGTGGACAAGATTTTATCGGATTTGGAGATGACAGCACCCAAATGATCTGAAGTATAGTTCACAGACAATCTTCGGGGGGCAGAGAATCAAAATAGAGTCAAGGAATATTACAGCAAACCTCGTGGAGCAGTGAAATAGAGAGACGACTATGGGAAAATTGAAAGAGGTTCAGTACTCTCCACTTCTGAGGATTTAATGTTAGAAGATCAACAAAAATCATTCAGAATATGATCCTAAGGATATTTCTGTGACCTGTGCACTGTTATACAAAAAAGATGTGCGAGAGGGAATTAATTTTGTAACGTGGCATATTATGTTTACTGTTAAACGAGTAAATAAATTGTAACGAATTTCATCATTTTTGGTTTAGTTGTCAACGGGAAAAAATGTTCTTCGAAGATTTGAGGAAAAAACTGGATTTCGGATAATATTTCTTCTAAATACTTCTTTCCGCATAGCTTGGTGTAGATAACTATTTTGTCTACTACCATTAGACTACAAGTATATATCTTTAATGCATATTGCACACGCAATAAAATCGTCCCCTCAAAATACGACATTTTAATCCTAAACTATTTAAGTGATAAATCATGACACCTTGGATGCCAAGTGGGTAAGGGACAGAGTGGAGATGGATGGTCATTAAACAGAACCCTGATACGAGTATAGAAATTTTATACAGATAACAGATAGTTTGAAATGAAGGGAAATGATTGAAAGATTGAAAAAGGGAAAATACACACGGACTGAATTTAAACATTTCAAATTTCTTGCAAAAATCTGTCAAAAATTCCTGTACTCAAGGAATTTTTCTATTAAAAATTATCATGATTCGAGTGATTTTGACCTACATTGTCATAATTTGCGCGGACAGTTTTACAGCGGGAGTATAAAATTGTCCCATTGAAGTATATCCCTTTTGGTAAATTGGACTAGACACTATTGATTCTATTAAAAAGTGAAAATTTTGTCGTGTACAGTGATGTTCAATATGCATCTAATGACCTAAACACGTCCTTTAAGGCAGGATGGAGAACAAAGTTACATCAACCAATTTCAAAAGTTGTACCAGAACTTTCATTTTACTACGGAATTCTTTAGTACAAAATTTTTGTATAGGGACATGGTAACAAATATAAATTAATTAATATGAAGATCATCAAATACTCAAAAAAGTAAACGAATAAAATGCACAAAATAAATCGACAATACAATACAAGTTGGGACACAGAAACTTCTCAGCCTTTCGGTGTAATGCTTCTCTCTTCTGCTTGAAAGATAACCAGTAGCACAAAAGATAAGTTCTATACTAGAAGTTTATTGTATTTTGCCTGTCTCGAGGTGCAACGCATTGCCACAAGGACCGATACGAGGGAATATTTGCAGCATCAACACCCAGGGATGCAAGGTTTCGTGCGTACTCCTGAAAATCATGCACATTTGAGAGAATATGCCAAGAATATACAACTGATGATAAAAGTGCCATCTGCCCAAATAAAAACTCGACCAATGTAGAAATTGTCAAGTGTTTATAAATAGATAGATATGAATGGTAGATAAGTAAGTAGCGTTTATGGATTCCATGAAATGTGAATAGAATGGGATTTGACTGATTATAAACATTGGCCGAACACATGCTTAATGCAGCTTTGAGTCTCATAGAATGGATGAACAATAAGTGATTAGTAAGTTATGGGTCATACAAAATGTTTGGATAAAAAGTATGATTGACCAATTTAAATTATAATATAAGCTTTGCCAAACATGCTCTTTAGTTTAAGGTCCTTTAAGAAATATTTGGTACATAGGAATCCACTAATGATAAAAATGCTATCTGGGGAATCAATACTCTCGACCAATGTTGAAATGGTAAAGATAAGAAATCTAGTTTAAGATCCTCTTAAGAAATGCTTAGTAGGGAGTATTGGAAAACACTAGACATTATTAACAAAGCAAAAAAGTGATAAAATCTTGTTTACCATATTGTCCAAACTTGAACTTTGAATGATTCTTACCTGAATATCAAGAAATAACTGCATGCACATCTTGTCAGTATCAGACACAGAATGGTCTGTTACCTCTGTGCTTGCTCCAGCTCGCTTTTGTGCACCTAAACGTATTTTCTGAAGAGAAGACTCCGTCTTTCTTGCCTGTAATAATAATAAGTGCCAGTTGGCAATGCCGTAAGAGAAAGATAGCAGGAAGTTATTTTCTCATGAAAAACAACAAAAAGCCAAAACCAGCTTTTCGGAAAAAACTGCCTAGTGGCTATCCAACTGCCGAGGGAGTAAAGCAGTGAACATGTTTTGGCTAAGCATAAAAAGTTGATTTATCAAGTAAATTAGTACGTTTCAAAATAAACATTGTTTATTAGTCAAGGATGGAAAAAAGTTCGCCACTAGTTATGAGAGAAACGTAAGTTACATTCAAAGTAACTTATGTAAAGTTCCAAGAAAATTAAGTTACCCAAACACGTGAAAACAAAAGTTACTTGAAAATAGCTTTTCTTTTTTCTAATCTTAGCCAAACATGCACTAGTCATTCAGTTCATCTCATAGATGAGATTTTGGCACAATTCCATTCCAGAGTCCAGGAAGGGTTCTAGAAATTTATTTATGGTGAGTGTCAAGGACAAAAGGGATGCTTGGGAAGAAAGAGGAAGAGAGAAGTGTCTTCCTAAAAATTCAGACAATATGCTCAGGAATCTACATACCACACTAACGAGCTCAGCAGCTAATTCATAATATCTGCGAGTAATCTCACTAGTAGCACTCTGCAAGAGTTCATTTCTGAGGTTGCCTGTTAAATACACGGCAACTCGCTCTCCATCAAGAAAAGCCTGCAGAAAGTAAGATGTTTTAGATGGAAAAAACTATCATTCAGAAAAAGTTGAAAACATATTGTAAAGCCAGTAAGAGAGAGGCATACACTTCAAAAGGTGGGGAAAATATGCATTATTCCAAGAAAAAAGCAATCTCTAACGGGTTGAGTATATCACAAAGCGTTTAAAAGGTTCAGGAAACCAAAACAATTCTGATGCATTTTATTTTCAGTTTAATAAGAATATGCATAGACTTTCTTGCGATATATGAACGTGCATACTAAAGTACATTCTGATCCTACTGAGTTTCATTATCGGGCGATCTTAGCAGATATACCTACCCCTCACCCCCAACACCAAGGTGTTAGTGTGGTATGTGCCACCTATTCTTTAGCAGCTCTATCAACAATAGATAGTTTATGCTCTTAAATTTATGGAGTATTGTGGAAGGTTCCATTCAATAAATTATTTTTAACTCAACATTCTGTACTCATGAGGCACACATCATCCACATCCATGTTCATACCTACACAGGTACAAATACATGAGAATACATGAGAATTAGCTGCTCTCAAGCATCTATCATTTGATGCTTTAAATGAAAACATGTGGTATGGGTACTTGCGCAATAATTATAACATTAGCAGCAACAGCAAGAGGACTTGCTATAAGATTAACATTTTCTCCTTCCATATAGCCCCCCACCTTACTAGTTTCATATCGTACAAGTGGAATTTTATGTCACAATTATTGGGGCTAATTTTTATTTTCTAGGGAGAAGTTATTTTTTCACATGAAAGCATATGAATTATTTTTACACCAGAGTTGAAATACATGTAATATATCCACTCAAGATGTTAAAGGTATAAAAAGATAATCTTACTTAAGCATGTTGTCATTTATCTTACAGCAAAATGACCGTATAAGAGGAAGGAAATCTATGTTCAATAGGAAAATATTCTGGAGGTGAAGACATTTAAGTACCTTTAAAGGACGCAATACCCCTGATACATATGGTGAATGCCTAACAGGAAGCGGTCTCTGACCCACCCTATACGTTGCAGTTATTCCCTTCAACTGTCGCAAGTCCTACAAAAAATTTTGCATATGGCATGCCTCAAGTAAATTATATTCCGTGGTTAAACTGAACATAGAGCATGTTTGGCTAAGCTTAAAAGGTGCCAAACTGTGAATAAAGTCCAAGGATGCTTATTAGTGTAAGAAATTGGATAAGGATGTTTTACCTCCACCGATTTTTCAACCAATGTTTCTATTATTGAATTCATTACAAGAGGTAGAAGAACTTTCAGGGAATTTCCGCCCCGCAAAATACTCTGCCTTACAAGATCAAGCACTTCAGGGGAACACGACTTGAGAAGCTCAAGCACATACCCTAGGTAACCGCCACAAATTTCCTCCACCAGACAATTTAGATCATGAATTATCTGTAAAAGAACTGTTATTAATAAATGTAGCATAATCAACATTTTTCACATATTGCACAAGGCATGAAATTAACAGTCAATTGCAAGTTACAACATGCCATATTCGTGCATCTGTAATTCAGGAGATCGGAGAGGGGAAACTGGGAAAAAAATTCAAGATTTGAATAGAAAATTATGTTCAGAGAAAGAAAATCAGTTGGTACAAATGGCAAAAAATTGGCAGTAAACTGGTAAAAATAGAATTAACTAACAGCCCAATATATTATCATTGGACCTAATACAAGGAGAGAAGAAAAGCCTTTCACTTGCAAAAAATCAGCATGTTGAAAATGACCATATCACGGAGCCACAAGTCATGCAATTTATGACTATTTGACAATCTAGTGTCCACCGAACAAAAAGACATAAATAACACCAAGTAAACCATATCAACATAAGTAATAACTCAAACCAGCAGTTTTCACTAATGGGTAGTGAAGGCCACAAGTAAATACCATAAAAACTGCTAGTGTCTGTCTTTAGGATTGTGGGTGAATACAACAATGTACAATATTTGAGGATGAAAGTCGAGACTTAAAACATATCTCAAGTAAAAATATAAAATGATGAGTTCCAATTCCACAAGTAGGGAAAATGAAAGTATAAAATCATGGAGCTGGGACAGGGGTACCCATGGGCTCCGTGGCCCCAAGGATATGATAATTTAGAGTTTTAAAACAAGTCATAAAGTGAAAGCAACGGGGAAGAGCACGAACTATATGCAAAATCCAGCCACTTCTAGCAACTCCAAGCATATTAGGCGTTTCTCACTCTCACCCCTTCACTTTACGATTTTTTTTTTTTTCAAACTCTTAAAAAACCTAGCTTCTCTGTCGACCTGCATCAGCTATAGATGAATGATAAGAAGTTGCATAAGCCAAATTCTCTTTCTCCACCAAATCTGATTTCCTTCAAGCATTTTCTCACAACCCTCCCCCCTCCCTCCAGGGAGTAAGGAGATCTCCCTTGCCTTCATTTCCACTTTCATGATCTATCTTTATGTTTCATATTTTACATTCAACAATGATTATTTCACGTCATGTTAATGCATAAAGCATTTTCAAGACTCTTTAAACATTAAATTCTCTCTATTTTAAAGAGACGGTCCTTAAAATTATGCTCCAAAAGACTATTCAAATTGACATTTTAAAATAGAGTGTGGATTTGACTCTCAAAATTTGGAGAGCCATACCTACTCTGTAAGATTAAATGCATTTGAAATATTTCAATTTTCAATGGAGGACAATAATATAATAATTTAGAGGGAAGCTAGTAAAAATAAAAAATATGGAAAAATAATATATATTTTTTGGGAGTAATAAAATAAAATTTTAAAAATAAAGAGCATGTTGGAGTACTTAAAAATTTTTACTCTCTAAATTTATAGACGTTTCTAAAATGTTAAATATTTTTTAAAAATAGAGTCTCTTGGAGAGACTCTTATGATGTCTTCCAAGAGTGGCATATGAACACTTGCATGATTGTATCACTGAAATGAACCTACATTTCTCTGATTGGAAAATAAAAATATAAATCTATTAAGCCAGACAAGCATGGATCATTTTTCAGTCACTTGCCAATTATTGATTATTTTAGATCTTTCTCTTCATAAAAAAGATTTAGCCCCTGTTTAGGCTCCATTTTATTCGAAATGCATTTTCTCTATTCTTTTCAGCCACACATACTCTAATAAAATAATATTACACGTAAATCTAAAACCTTTTTTTTTTCAACCACGCATTCTTCAAAAAATAACTATTTCAAACATTTTCCCCGAATTTTGATTTAATGGAGCCCAAACAAGGGCTTAATTAATATAAATTAATAGTCATTATCTGAGACAATTCTTAGATAAACATGAAGATAATCCTCAAATAGTAAGGAATGGCATTATACTAAGTCTAAAGAGGGGAAGTGGACAGGATAAGAACTGACAATTCATTTTGCACAGACAAATCATACAGATGGTCTGAATAAATGAGATACATACATAAAGAAAATCTTCTGGGCTAGCAGAAATAGCCCACTCAGATCCAGATTTGGAACCTGCATTACCAGCTTTGCGAGCATCCATTCCAACTGACAACCAGTTTGAGAATCTGTAATGATAATACAGTTCAATATTCTAATATGTCCATACGTCCATTATTAAGTCAAATCATCAAACAGATTTATATTTCTAAACCCAGCTAACAATGAAAGTAAACTAACCGTGAAAGAAGTTGCAAAAACAGGCGTAAAAACTTGTCAGCACAAGAAAGGACGAAAATATCATCTCTCCAGCATGATCTCAAGCAATCCAAAAGAGAGATACTTTGCTTCAATACTAAGTTTAAAGAATGTCCCTGATCTGAGGACAAGTTTTGAGAGGGCTGAAGTGCAGTAACTGCAAGTGCAGATTCCAGCATCCCAGCAATTTCCTGAAATCTAAGGCAATTAATTCATGTAAGTAGTTCTATCTTTAAGTTTCTCTCGTTAATACTTCATCACCTTCCTAAGATTGGAGAGGCCTAGCAGTCTTAGTTATAGACTTGTATATCAGATCATGGTGAGTACCTCAATGTGAAATAGACCCCAGTATTCCATTGCTTTATAAATTCCATATAGACTGCTTCTTCCCGAAATTTAGCAATTGCAGAACTAGAGGGGCAGTGACCTAGCATGAAAATGTAGAGTGTAAGACAGACGTAAATGAGAAAATAATTAATAAGCAAACCATTAATGTGAATGTAGAACGTGCTGAAGGTTCCTCCACAACCTTCTAAGTAAGCCAAGAAATTTAGGCTTGATTTGTAATTTTTTAGGAACTCTGTGGGTCTTCCAGGAGAGAAAGCACCAGGTTTTCCTTTCTGGATTGCTGATAGAACCTCTCTGAGAATTGAATTGGCCAGAAAGCTGAATACATGTAGACCCGAATTTTCTGCAGATAATTTTAAATACAAGAACAATAAGCAATCATAGAGAAATGTCAAAATCCAGCTAAACTTGTTACTCAAGAAATAAAAATTGATTAGCTGTCAAGAAATTTACAATGCATAGAAGTTTTTAGAAAATTTGGTTTAGAATGTATATTCAATAGTCCTGTGAATTCCAATAATGTATGCATGATTCTGTTGGTGCCGCTTTCAGGGTTGTGTGCAGATGCAAATGACTAAATGAAGACTTCATGTTACACTAACTGCAATAAAATTTGCAGAAAGAACCAAAAAGAAAAGAGTTTGATAAAGACAAATCATATACAGGCTAGGGGTTGTTAAACATATTTAGGCATACAACAAGGTTTTGCTTTTCCATTAATTTTAACAGATCCGTTATAGATAAGATAAATTATTCTTGTGTGGTCTCATACACAGTGCAAAGATCCTGTTAATGTAAAAGGGAAGAATTCTTGCTACTTTTCCAAATTCCACTTTATAGCATCATCGATTTTCTTATTCATTTATTTTTCCTAATTTTTTTGTTTTCTTGCAGAAGAAATTGCTTGTCTGTGATCTTATGAAGGCACAATATCTGTATTGTCCTAAAAAAAACTCAACTCTACTAATAAAATCCTTATTCCACTGTGCTAACTCACATATAATCTCATTTCTTCGTTTTTAGTTCAAGGTGCTACTGTCCACATAAAATGCTGAAGGAAAGACATCAATCTGGCATTAGTACAAACTGCTGATATTACCAGTTACCACAGACATCTGCATACTAATTTATCCAACTTAGAAGTGCACATTGTCGACAACGTGACAGTAGCACCCTGAACTAACAATGACATATTAATCCACTAATAAAGATAAAATGAAAGTTCAAGTTTATTAATTCTGCTTCAAGGGAATAGGAGGACAATATAATTGCAATATTCCTTTATTAACACAGAATAGAATAACACACGATGGTAACAAGCATACCTGTAAAAGATATTTCCAATAAAAAATTACAATCATCATCAATGTATTGCTTGATTCTTTCATAGTCTTGGTCAAGTTCATCTGCAGATTCCCCACCAACTGCACTGGATGAGCCGTGAGGGATAACCTTCTGTACAAATGGTGCCACGACTTTTAAGCGAAAAATATCTTCAGCACTCATGGTATTATCAATAGCAGCATATGCACGTAGGCAATTGTATATTGCATTTGCATCTTTGTGCTCAAGTCCATCTACAAAACAGTGTCCCAAACTTGTATCCAACAACACGCCAGCATTCTGTATCCTCTTCACCATATTCTCAATGAAGGGCATATTCTGTACTGCCATCATACAAAAAGAATGTGGTTAAGTACTGTAAATTCCACCGACTGTGTATAACATATGGAATAGAGGGAGTCACACCAAAAAGAATTGCAAGATGAGCAAAATATCAAACCACATAATTAGCTCTTAGATCAGACATGTCATAACTCTACTATTGAGCCTACTCATGTATAAAGGAGCAGGAAATGAAGAGTAAGGAAAAATCAAATCTATTATGGAGGAAATTTTGCATACATTTTGTTTAAACTTAATTTGTGTCATAAATATTACCTTAATCTGTTTCATGTATTTACAGTTCTTTAAATAATATGTGTATGCCATAGATTTATAGGTCGTAATCCATGAGTAAAGAGTCAGGCATTCAAAACTCTGAATTTCATGTGCTGTCATAATAGGAATTCTATGAGCATCTAAACATCAATGTCTTAGTTCTAATAATAACAAAAACTAAGACTTATCCTTATAATTTAGTAGTTGGCTGCATGAATCCTGTTTGCCACTTTGTTCATTCAATCGTTGCATCTCTTGAAAGATCCACTGCAACCATATCATTCGCAACCACCACATGTCATATTAGTTTTGGTCTAACTCTCCCTATTGTAACTGTCTAAGAAGCAGGGAGAAGTGTAAACTTATTGCGTATTTGTATCCGATACATATCCAAACTCGAATATGCATGGACACATTCTAATATGTACTGAATATGTGTTATTTAATTATTTTATATTTTTTAAACTTTGTACATGTATCAGACACATAAAGAACAATTTAATTGGTTTTAAACTCTTTTGAAGCTCATTATTATTTACAATAGATGATATATATATATATATATATAAACTTATACATTAGTCACGGACTACTCACTGAACTATGAAATATTTCAACTTGCTCACTGAACTTGTCTCATTTGCACTCCATCCATCACTCCTTAAAATCTGTTAAATATTTTGCTGATGTGGAGGATGATAATCTTGTGTGGCAACTAACGGCGTGCCACGTCAACCAAAATATCCAACTCAAATTTTCAATTAGTTTAAAAAAAAAAAACCCAAAAATGAAACCTTGTGTTTCAAAGAATGGGAAACGATTTTCAAATGGGCTAACACATTTTTACAACAAATAAAAAGAATAAATATAAAACCTTAAAACATTAAACACACAAAACTAATCCCGACATTAGAAACCCAAATTCAATTCCAAACCACCAATTTCCCCCAAAGGCAAAATCGCCGAAGTCGCTTTAGTTAGCCATGAGATCCGCATACCATGTAACGGATTCTGAGTTTTATATCAGCAAATTTCATATCCCTTTATATTTTCCAGTCATCCTTTTTAAGGCAAAAAAAAATGAGTTTCAACAGTTTATTTTCCTATATATTAATTTGGGAAGCATGAATCTAGATAATATATTGGTGAAATGGGAAGAAAAGTGAATGGCAATTAGAGCATAAAAAGCACCCAAAAAAGCTTATGGTTGTGAACGAACTGTAGAAAGGTACAAATACTATTTCTTCTCTGGCAAAATCATCAACTTGCATTAATAGTTGTGTCACTGGTCATGGCTGGAGAGTTGGTGGTGGTTCCGTGCATCACGCTTTTTATCCCATTCATGAATCCTCAAGCTCAGCTCCGCCGTTGCAATCAAGAAATATACAGCTTGAACTAGAGCTAGAATTTTAACTTCTTGTTTAACCTTAAATATTTCATCAGCCCTTTGCATAACTTCCACCAAACCGTCGTCCTTCAGATCCAAAGCCGCCTTGACTTGGCCGTCCTCCACCGCACCACCGCCTCTTCCTCCCTCAATGATTTGAGAGAAATTGGTGGTTTGAAATTGAATTTGGGTTTCTGATGCCGGGGTTTAGTTTTGTGTGTTTTAAGGTTTTAAGCTCTTTTTTTTTTTAATTATAAAAACGTGTTTGCCCATTTGAAAATTGTATCCCACTCCTTCAAACACATGGTTTCAGTTTTTTTTTTAAGTTTAAAATAATTTAAATTGTGAGTTGGACATTTCGATTGGCATGGCACGCCGTTAATCACCGAACACGATTACCGTCTTTCACGTCATCAAAATATTTAACAAATTTTAAGGACTGGTGGATGGAGTACAAACAGAGATAAGTTCAGTGAGCAAGTTGAAGCATTTCATAGTTCAATAAGTAGTCCATGGCCAATCAATAAGTTCAGTGATTTTCGAAATATTTCGCTGAGATAACTATTGTTATTATCAATAACTTGTTGAAAATAGATATAATTTTTTTGGCATTATAGACACTTGCTCTCTTGTGCATTTCATGAGAATGAATACAATTACTCCACAACGAAATGAGAAATTGATTTGCATTCTTATCAATCTATGTCTTTTATTAAGACAATCAAATATTTATTCAAAAGGTGAATCCAAAATGTGGGATATTGTCAGAGACTCATTTGATACTCAAAGTGTTAGGCTACTTAAGATTGTTAATCTATTATTAGATGAGTCGTAATTTGAGAGTGATTTTTAATGATAACGAAGAAGTTGGGATAAGGATTAAAATAAAATGCTATATAGACACATATATACATGTCCCACCCAACAACCAAAGTAGTGTCCTCAATTGTACCACGTCCACTTCTTTGTGTATACTGTAATGCTATACAGTGATCTTAACATCCTTATTTTCACCTAATAATGTGTTCTATGTTGTTTAATAACCCAACATTGAATACTTTTTTTTTTTTTTATAATCGTCGATATTCGGACCAGCTTGTGTGCATCTCGACTAATCCCCCGAGGCCCTGAAATTTATGGCCGAATACTCATCTTAGTGGCCCTGAGGGGACTCGAACTGGTGACCATTGTGGAGCAAACCCAAGGCCCCCAACATTGAATACAAGAGAGCACATCATATCAAATAAATGTTTTGTTGAAATTGCCTTTTAATTTAGAAATCATTCTATCATACAGAATTTGTATAACATTTCTCCCTTTCATGCACACATGTTAATCCAACATGTGCACATTACATCCTCTCCAAGTCCAGATTCTTTGGTAATAACGGATCTAAGTACCTAAAACTATCACTTTTTGAAACAATAAAATGTTCTACATTGACTTCACCACCATCCGTATTCCTATTATAATTTTTATCTTACTTCTACTTAACCTAAAATCTGACTCCAAAGTTGTAACTCATCTTGGCCTCATCTACTAAAATTACGTCATGAACAAATGACATGCACCAAATAGACTTATCTAGGATATGCTTATGAGCTCATCCATGACTAGAATGAAAAGACAAGGATGTGAGGCAAAATCTTGATGCAAGCTTACAGAGATATTAAATGATAATTAGACCAGTATGAAGCAAAGACATTACAATTTATAAATATCCTTATTTTACATGTCCCCGTTACCGTGATCGTTGATAACTCAAAAGTTGGAAAAACTATCAAAATTGTCAACAGTAATAAAAGTCACATATATTAGAGTCAAATATATTTATATCAAAAGAGAGTCCAAACATATGAAGAAGCAATAAGTTGCAGAACACGAATCCACAAAAACTAAGGGATCGTTTGATTGCAAGAATAGGATTGGGTAGAAAGAAAATGAATTTCAGAGAATTGAATTGTCTGGAACTTGTTTTACTAGGAATTATCAATTAATTGTGTTTGATTAGTATAATTTTCCACCTGAAAAATATTAAAATTTTGGATCTTTTGGTATTCGTTTAGCTTTGTTTTCCATTGAAATTGTCTATTAAAGGAATATAATTTGTTACAATTGGGGATACAATTTGTTTGCATTGAAAAAAAAATTAAAAAAAAGTTGCCTAGAAACACTTTTCCTCAAAAATCAAGAAAATGTGGAAAACCAATTCATGGAAAATTTAATCAATCAAACATACAAGAAGGTAGAAATGGAATTTAATTTCCAACTTTCATGAAAAAAAAAGCCAAATCAAACAGGGCGTAATAGAAGAAATACATCAAAAGAAGAGAAAAATAAAGATCTGTTATAAGAGGATGGAGGGAAAAAGACCTTTGCGTGAGCAATATAGAACTTCAGCCGATTCATCTCACTTGCAATTCTTTCCAGAAGCATACTTTGAGTCTCTCTAAGGTTTGTTCCATTGTCAGCATCTTGAAATGAGATACCGTTGCTTAATTGACCCTTTTCTATAGAATTAACATTGCCGCTGGCCCAATCAGCTGGCACACTAGGAAGCTCCTTTATCAATTTTTCAACCTACATAGATATCAAATTTCAGTATGTATTAGAAAATTTAAAATAAAGCAGCTAGAAGCCAAAACAGAGTGTGGAATGTGTATCTTCTTTATCTAGCATCTATTTTTCTTCCCTTTTCTTCTGCATTCTTGCATCCCAAACCCCACAAAACCGCCCATAAGGTTCTGACCAACGAGTCCCAACTAAGATGACCCTATCTAAAGAAGCACAAACAAGCAACAACTAAACATACAAAAAGAAAATAAAAATCAAGAAAGCCCTTAATTAAAGTACCAGGTTTTGACAACAAAGACTAATTCCACAGCTATGTAGAACATGATTGAATTGACCATAGTCCACAGATTGAGCAGTAGCATTTCTATAAAATTCGGTGTAAGTTACACCCATCAAGTGATTAAGTCAAGTATAGGGTATATTTTTCCTTCAAGGAAGTTGGCCCTGTGCGAAATTTCTCTTCGCATTTGTACTCAAATGCAACATTAAGTAATCAAAGAACTCTGGCTCGAACCAGCTATTCAATGATGTGTTTTAAACCATATAACGACAACAATATCTAGACTTTTCCAATTAGAATTGCATGTGATTTACCCTATACCTTGCAAGAATAAACTGAATCACTTCATTCTTTAACTTATATTCTTCCTTCTCCTTTTCATCATTTTCCATTCTCTTAAAACTAAATCTAACCACTATAATCCACTCCTAACATGCATCAATTCAACCTTGGAAGTTGGAACCTTACAATTTCCACTCACAAAAACTGCTATCTTTCTCGACATGTGCTGACATTCACATACACACAAGGCAAGAAATCTGTATTCTGCCTGCTGGATAAAAGACCATTAATGACAGGATGCCAGTATTTGTATCATCCACCAAACATAGAGATGTCTCCATAGTTGGCCGTAAGCACATGCTCCAAGATTCCTAATAGTAGAGAATTGCTACAACAGTGATACTATTCATAAACAGAATCCACAGACATAATCAATTCCTCAAAGTTCATCACCGATAATGTTTAACAAACACATGCATGTGCAACCAAGTGCAAGATTCACTTGCAACTCCTTCACAATCACCACAATTAACTTTAAGCATAAAAAATAGAAATAGAAGACATCGACCTCTATAAATACTAAATATATTACATTCCGATATTGTATCTTACTCCAGCATTACTGATATAAACAGGAAAAGAAATTTATTTCAGTGAATTTTACCTTGGAAACGACATGAAATGTATCCAGCAACAACTCCAAAACCTCCCGGGCCTCATTGGCTTCAGCGCGCTGCTTAAGCCGGCTCTGGAGAGCCATTAACGACCCGTCAACCGCATTTCGGAATGCAAGAATCTTCTCCTTGATCTCGAGCAACGGCGCCCTCATTCGAACCACTGCCGCATCCACATCAACAAGCTTAGTACTAAGACTAACAAAATCCGCATAATCTCGATTAATCAACTCAACAAGTTCGTGCTTTAGAGCACTCAAATGTGACCGGAGCTCCGACCGGAGAGTGTCGAACGGCACAAAGGTGCGGAGATCAGATATGTAGGACTCCGGATCGAATTCCGGATCCAGGAACTTGGTCGGTTTCAGCCATAACGGGTGGGCGTCCTCTTTCGGGTCCCCGAATAGATCAGTGGCGGATTTTGGCAGTGGAGAGTGAAGATCCGTCGCCATTGGAGAATTTTGATTTGGGTTTTTTTTACAATAATGAAAAGGGGATCTGATGGATGCTAATGAGTACGGGAGGTTATAACGTACAGTTTAAGATTTCTAAAGTTTATTTTTAATTTTGGAGTTAGAAGTGAGTTTAATTTTCCGAAACACACAATAAATTTAAATTTTTCAAATGATAAAAATAATTTAAAATGCTACAAAAGTATGTTAAAATTAAATTTAATTATTGTGTAATTGATTAATCATTTCTCGTAAAATCGATAATTCGAACTCATTTGTCCACTTTATTATAAGATTGCGGTCACGGTGAACCCAACGAAAGCCCCTCTATTTAGAAATATAAGTGAGCAAACCACTTATCTAAAATAATAATAATAAAATTGAAAATTACAAGAACTAAGTATTTTCAAGATGTCAATTCATATTTAAAAGATACAAGTTTTTATATTCAAAATTAGATATAATTAAAATTTTAAATATTAATAATATTATTATAAAATTAAATTAATTAACATACCACATCCATCCATCCACCGCAATTACAAACTTTAAATTTATCTCCATTCCTCTCTTTCCACTCTCTTTATATTTCACCATTTCTCTCTCATCTTTATCTCTCGACTCCATACCCTCTTCGTCAACCTTTGTCACCATAGAACGCCCGCCACCAGAGATCGTCTCTCTACTATCTTCGTTGTGAGTGCCGCCAATAAAGTCATTTCTTGACTACAAATCGTGCTAGTAACGGCCCAGATCGTCGGAAGCTCTGTAGATCTCGAGTAGTTCATTCACTGTGAGCGCCACCGAAGGCTCTGCAGATCGTGGTTGTAGAGGCGTAGATCGCGATGGTGATAACATAGATCGTGACTGCAATAGCCCAGATTACGTTGATGGTAATTTTTTTTAATTGTTGGATAGGTGGTAGTAGTTTTCATATTTTGGTGCTTTTAGGGTGATGGTGATGGTGATGGTGGCGGTGGGGTGAGGTAAGGTCGTACTATAGGCAGTTATGGTGAGGTATTGACGGTGATGGTGGCACTGGAGGAGGTAGTTCATGTGGTGGTAGTGTTGGCGGGGGCAATCAATTTTTTTTGGTTTTTGGGGTGTTTTTTGTTGGTAGTGGTGCAGAGGATCTGGCGGTAGTGCAAGTGGATTTTGACATTGGTGTGGTGGTGGATGAGGATCTAGTGCTGTTGGCAGTGGTGAGGTGGTGGTCTTGACGGTCGAGTGAGATCAAGAGTGTTTGTGGCCAATAAATTGGTTGATCGTAATCAATAAATTGGGTAATTTGTGACCAATATATAATATGCGACCTAAAAAATATGATCGTGACTCACAATTTACTAAGTTGTGATTGAGAAATAATTTGTGACCAATTAATTTGATAATTTGTAACCCTTAAATAAGTTGTAATTTATAGAATTTATAATTTGTGATCGATGAATGAATTGTAACTTATGAACATTTTGATTTTGTACCAATAAATAAATTATGATTTATAAATTTTTTTGATGTGATCGAAAAATAAATTGTGTCTTATAAATTTTTTGGATTGTGATCGACAAAAAATTATAATCAATTAATTCAAGAATTTACGACCAAATTATATGGAATTGTGACCTTAAATTATTTAATTAATAAATATATATTTTTAATTAATTATTTCATAAATAAATTTTAATAAATATTTGATTTTTAAAATTTTAAACACTTTGCCCCAATTTGGTGCACATTTTTGCTCCAAGAATAGTTTTTTTATATGATGGGGAATATGTAGTTGAAAAAGAAAGAAAAATTATTGATATAATGGAAAAATATTATTTTATCGAAGAATGTAGGGTTGAAAATAAGTAAAAAATGAGAATAAAAAAAATAATGTGGCTCAAACAGCAACTTTATCTTAATTTTGAAATGAGTTACTTATGAATTTTGCCCCCATTTTTTTTTCGAAATGGGTCAAATAATTGGCCCAATCTCATGAGAAATAAAAAGGAGACCCAAACGTGAAAGCGAAACTCCATGTGGCGAAAGAGAATTGACGGTGTAAATCAAAATCAAATTTCGATTGAATCTTTGTCATTTTTCTCCGACACTTTTTTGTTGGCTTTCTAGTGAATTGTGATTCATCTTGCAAGATAACTCCTTGTTACAAATTGATTGAAAAGATCTACCAGTAATTTTGATGCGGGTAATTTTTTGTAATTTCATCTATATGATATGAATCTATGGGCTTGGATTGTTATGTGAGATAAACTATGAAGGGATTTGATGGCAAAGACGGAGATAGGGGGGGCGACCGTCCCCCAACATTGTCCTATGATCCGTTATTCCTAGTTAATTTCTAAAGCTTGTTTGGAAGAGATTTTTGGGGGAAGAATTGATTTTGAATAGTGATATGATGGGAAATGTGTGGTTGAAAAAGAAGAAAAAATTATTGATGTGATGGAAAATATTATTTTATTGAAAAATGTGTGGTTGAAAATGAGAATTGATTTATTGTAGAANAAATGTAATCTCGACTACAGACACCCCATTTATGACTAACTCTTTGATATATTGATTCGTCTTGTCTTGACTCTTCCAATTTCAACAGCAACTACAGAACGTGTATTTTCAGCTATACGTGTCATTAAGATAAGGTTGCGTAATAGAATGGAAGATGATTTTTTTGTCCAGTACCATGCTTGTGTATATAGAGAAGGAGATTGTTTATACTTTTCCATTAGATTCTCTTATTGACGAGTTTGAAGTGATGAAGACAAGGATAGACCAATTCCAGATATTCAAGCCATCTCTACCATCTATTATATAGATAGACAGTTTACATTTTGTCTTCTTGATGTCCATCTAACGTTCATGTTTTCAATTTGTATAGCATTAGACACATAGATGGACATGTTATTTTTGTATCGACAAATTGATTGTCTTTTTAATCAGTCAATCTAATTTGCCTATTTTGGTACTCAAAATCTTCGTTTTTAATCCTCTTAATTAAATTTTTTTCAGTTAATTACCCATTTATGACAAACTCTTATTGTTGATAGATTGATTCGTCTTGTCTTGACTCTTCCAATTTCAACAGCAACTACATAACGTATATTTTCAGCTATGAATGTCATTAAGACAAGGTTGCGTAATAGAATGGAAGATGATTTTTTGTCCAGTACCATGCTGTGTATATAGAGAATGAGATTGTTGATACTTTTCCATTAGATTCTCTTATTGACGAGTTTGAAGTGATGAGGACAAGGAGAGACCAATTCTAGATGTCCAAGCCATCTCTACCATCTGTTATATAGATAGGCAGTTTACTTTTTGTCTTTTTGATATCCATCTAACGTTCATGTTTTCAATTTGTATAGCGTTAAATACATAGATTGACATATTATTTTTGTATCAACAAATTGATTGTCTTTTTGGTTAGTCAATCTAACTTGCCTATTTTGGTACTCAAAATCGTCGTTTTCAATCCTCTTAGTTAAAAAAAATTTCGGGGGCGGAGGGGGACCGTATTTTCGCCCCCGCTAGATTGAAATCCTGGCTACGCCCTGTTTGATGGTGTGGTTTAGAGTTTTGCTTCTTTATGATTTATTACATATTAGTGTAAATAATTATTATCCTAGGGAATATAATTTTTGAATTGGTTTTCGATTATTTTGCTTATTTGATATGAATCTGACATGATATGAATTTGTTTTAGATTATTGTCCTATATGATATAAATATGTGGGCAATGAGTTTGGATTATTTTGCTTCTTTCTTGCCTCATCCTGTTGTATGTATTAGTTGTTCTTCTTTCTTGGCATCTAGTGTGTGTGTGTGTTTTTTTCATTATGAATTTGAATATATGATACGACACATCTTAAATTAACTCTTGGTCATTTTATAGTGAAAATAGTCTTGGAAAGATTTTATAAAAGAAAATCACTCGAAGGGTGGAAAATGTTGATGTGGAGATGTCAAATAGAGACGATTTTGATTGTATAAAGATATTACAATATGAAAACTCGTAAAAAACAATTATAAGGTATTTCATTTTTAGTATAATATTTGTGTTATAACGTTGTTATTTTTTTTACCTTTATTATATCTCCTCCACCAGAAAAAAATTCTAGGTCCGTCCTTGATTGCGATACATATTTTTTAACGAATAGTAGGTCGATGTCATTTTTAAAAGTTTAATGACCAAAATTCGACCACCTTAAAGTTCAATGAGCAATTGAAAATGTTTTTCAAAGTTTATTGAGCAATTGAAGATGTGACAATTTGTTAATGGCATGATGAAGCAGCACATGTACATTCTGTTAGCCACGTTACGAATCTACCTTCCTATAAAAGAGAGGATCCATCGGATCACTATTCATTCTTGGTACCTCATGTTCACACTTGACCTGTTTGGAGTTTGCTTCTTAGGGAGGTTAAATTGGTTTGGATTGTGGTGGGCCTGCATTGTTTTGTTGTCTGGAAAGAAAAATGACCCCAGCCTCAATTGTTGACTTTACTAAGGGAGATATAATTTGCCACTTCACATACTGCCCTTATTTGTGGGCATTTGTACAAAAATGTTCACGCCACCTTACATGTTGACTAATTCACTCCATCACTACCATGATTAAAGCAAGATGTATTCCTTCACGAGTAAGTAATATGATTACACTGACACGTTGTGAGTTACTATTTAGTTGGCCAAATCGTTGACTACCGAACTCCACCGCCTTCAAATTGGATGTACTATACCAGTTTTCCACCTGCCCATATATGGACGTCTCTCAAAAACTGTTCACTAACCGCCTCTATCACCTTCAAATTATCTGTACTGGAACATTTTATTTCCCTGTTCTCACTACAACATTAAAGAAAGAATACACGATTTATATATTTCGCCATAGAATTGACGTCCAAACAACCTGAAGCTAACGTTCCGCACCAGTTTATTTGTCTATTTCCACAATCTTCTACCTTCCTATAGAAGAGAGGATCGCTGAATTCATGTTTTGCAT